GAATCAAGGGCGGTGGGATGCAGCAGAAGAGCTGTTTGTGCAAGTGATGGAGACGAGCAAGAAGAAGCTGGGAGCGGACCATCCAGACACGCTGAGCAGCATGGCCAATCTAGCCTTCACGTGCAAAGCACAAGGCCGGAGTGCAGAGGCTGTTATCTTGATGAGGCAGTGTGTGCGGCAGCGTCAGCGAGTGCTAAAAGCTAGTCACCCTGATCTCAAGTCATCTTTAGCAGCCTTGGAAGAATGGGAGGCAGAGTTGGTAGATGCGCATTTAGAGTGAACGCTTAAGAACATGCTGTTAAGGGCAGATAAGAATCATAGCTTGTACAGTAACTGCACGTGTATTGCGAGTGCAAGCTAGCTTGCTTGGAGCTAGTGGATCTTGGTATTCTATGATTGGTTGAGACCAGCAAGGATCACCCTGAGCTGACATGGGTGCTACAGAATTCCGCTTGCGCAAAGGGTGAGGGCGGTTTTGCAAGGTACTGTATGTGGGAGCTAGTTTACAGTTTCTTTCAGCGTTCAACAAAGCCTACACATTCTGGCCACGGTAATGGCCTCTAAAAGAAGAGGAAAAGCTATTAGCTTTATTGACAACTTGGTTCAGCGGTCAAGGCCGCGTGTGACTCTGCAGTCTCCGCCCCCTTCCTATTCCACAGACTCGTCTCAATCTCAAAGGCAACTTCATGAACATGTAGCACTGCCACCAATTGACCACGTTGGTGTGCTCAGAAAATTGGATGAACAATTCCGCGTGGAGATTCGCGATACTAACGTAGTACTGGGCCCAATTCTTGCCGCTGTCATCACAGGTGCGCACGACGAGGAATGCCGGATTTTTAATCTCACCGACGCAGCAATGAAACTAAGTCGGAGCATACACCAGGCGAATCACCCGCCAGCATTCGAATCTGCCATACGTTCCGCTCTCAACGATGTCCTTGTGGCGATCAGGGCCCTTGTAGAGCTTGGTAACCCCCAATTAGCTATCTATCACGAGCGCAGGATGGCTGCAATGATTGGAACTCATATATTTGTTACCGGGACTCTAGGAGCAGATGGTATTCTGTCGACGTTTTGGCAGGAGAATCGCGAGTACGTACTTGCCCTGGGATGCCATCATTTATTGTGTATAGCTGAGGCGGATCTAAACGCTGGGAGGTGCATTGTGAGTCAATCAGAGATCTTGTAGGATGTGTGTAACAATTCAAGCTTCTTATCTACGAATTCTCACAGTGATCCCGGATAATGTCGTTCCATACGTGCCAGCGTATTCCTCTGAGCAAATGGAACTCCTCCTGCGCCATTAGTCTCACTTCTGTGTCACTCAGATATGTAGTAGACGGGTCGCGGTTGATGGTAACTTCGTCAATCGGCGCTTGGAGGTCGCACGAGATGTCCCTGTGACAATTAAAAATTGCCAGTGCCTCTTCAATGAAGGCAATTGTTCGCTCTGTCATTCTACTCTTTCTGGAAGACAAATGCTGTGTAGCGAGGCGGTGAATGGATCTTGCCAGTGGAGACGGAAAAGAAAGCCTCCCCAGCCCGTCGCAAAGTCTTCGAAAATCCTTAGCTTGGAACCTATCCCAAAGGCGCCAGGGATTCTCAGCATATGTATCATCGTCACTGATTAGAGTCACTGACGCACTATCAGCAGCGTGACCCTATTGTTATTAATTCGGGGTGAGCGTCACATTCGGTTTTTGCGCAAGTATAGAGATTGTATTCGCCCAATTCTAGCTATAGACTGCACTTAAGCTCAAGTTTTGATATCTTCTGGTGGCCACGCAGACAAGTATTCGACTCCTTTTAAAATGGAATATGTGTGCTATCGCGGCGTCTAAATCCAACGATGAGCTTAGTTATGTCCCTTACGAAGATTTACATACCTCGTTACTTATTAGTAAAGCGTAATACTTAACATGTGCCCCAAAGTCCACGTCAAAGGGATCAGGAGTATGTCTCTTGGGCGACAATAACAGTAAGAAAACAACTTCGGAAGCGCATAAGTGTAAAGACAATGTTGTTCCAGAGTTGGCTTGCTTGGATGGGAACAGCTTTCCTGTATTTTGAATTCACCCCAACGTCCTTTTCGAAGGATCTAGAACACAGATCATGATTGTTCCATAGAACCAAACGTCCAAGGCCTAGAATCATGGAAAGAGCTGTATCAGTCTAGAAAGTACCACTACATCCATCTCCACTTCCTGCTTCAAGTGAAATAAGCTAATGCAAGGCTTACCACATGCTAGCTTACATCCCTAGTCGTATTAATCTTGAAAGGCATTAAGTACATACACAATGAAAACTACGCTGCGAGAATGCACCTTTCCATTGCTCCAACACAATTTGAGCAGCTCTGTCGTCCAACAGAATCGCACTTTATCTTCCTACCATCGAAAACATGCCGTCGTTGCCCTGCGATGCCTCTACAGCTGGAGGTACACGTATGGATCGTCAGCGGATGCCGTTGAGGGCGTGTAGTCGATAGAGTGACTGAGTGGGACATCTTCGACGTATCTTTCAATCGTGGCGATTCCTTTCCAGTACTCGTCTGCATAGACAGTTATCCCATTGAACTTCTCACCCGAAGTCTCGATCACTAGAGTATAGGTGTCCTCTGTAGTATCAAACGTTCTTAGTTTACCCTTCATTTTCACTGCCTTTCCGTATAGAGTCTCCCTCTCCTTTCGAACCTGAATCATCTGATCTAGGTATTTCCCCAGCAGTACTCGCACATACCAAAAAGCTTGATTGTCGAAGCGCGGCTCGGGTAGTGCCTGCTGTAATCTCTCAATAAAAGAGGAGAACAGTTCGAAATGTACTGTAATGTTGTATCTCATTTCGCTCATGATCTGAGCCAGTTTAGGAATGTCTGTTTGATCGTGCGGAGCTCTTCTATGCTTGTCGAGAATGGAGATAGGGCCCTCTGCGATTCCCTTTAGTTGTCCCTCTTCGAAATTGATCAAGGAACCCTCAGTAGGTTGGCCGAAGGTTTGTAGAGTTAGCTGGTCGACTGGGTCTAGGCCAGCGTTGAAGGCATCATAGAAAGCGTATCCAAGCCTGTGTCGTCCCAAGTTTGATGGCTGGATATCATCTTCAGGTGAGATTGGATGTGTATAGGCGTAAGATGAGTCAATGGGCGGTAAGGAGTTGTAGGGTGTATTCGTGTAGAGGTAGTGCACGCTGGACGACGAAGGAGCCACTTGGCCAGAGTCCTGTGCCCTGAGAGTTTGTTGGTCGGAGCGGGACTTAGGTGGCACTGGTAGAGGCCCTACTGGCGGCTGCGCAGCCTTCTGCGCAGCCTCGGCGTCTTCGAGCCTCTTCTTTATGTTCTTGGCGTCTTCGAGCCTCCTCCTCATTTTCTCACGGTAAGTACCTATTAAGTCAGATATGAATTTGATACTGAGAATCGGAGTCTTACGTTGACTCAACCGGTTCTGCACCCTTTTTCGCGCTCTCCTGTCGTTGATCTGGGTCCAATCTTCATTGCTTTCTGCTCGAGTGGAGGAAGCATCCAATGTTCGTGAGTGATTTCTCGCATTATTTTGCATTGTAGTTTTCGTTGACGGAGGAGATGAGACGAAGCAAGAGCCTGCCGCCGAGGGTTCAAGAATGGTGCGCGGGCTTGGATCGTGTGAGCGGCATTGGCACTATTAAGGGTCGGAATTCAACATTTCACGGCGCGACCAGGGGCATGGATCTTTTTGGCTTGTTTCCGCGGTACTGCAAAGCTGCTCCGCATGGGCCTCCCACAGACTCATCAGCATCGTTGCCTCAGATAGATCACGGTAGGGTTGCTGGTCCAACAGTAGCCTTGTGAGCACACGGAACTGGTCCTCCCGCTCTCCCGGCATGAAAGGTGCAGCGCCTATAGGAGCCACCAGAAGGTGCGAGCGTTAGGAACTATTGTTTGGGGGCGAACAGTGAGCGGCACATCAACCAGCGGGGTAGGAAGGTCAAAGCCTGTGTCCTTGCCTGAATGTTGGTGCCGTCACATTCCCCTCGTTTGCAAGCGGCCACATCAGATTAACTGTGCCGCAAAATGCATCGGCATACCCATATGCATGCATAGATCCGCTTGGGGTGCTGTGGACCGTGGGATTTGCCACTTAATTTCTATGGCTGCGATCGCTCCGGGATGACCTTGCAGATAGCGAGAAGCAGTCAAAGCGCCTATGCAGGAGGAGAGCAAGATTCCTTCTAAAGAAGCTGCTCGCTGCCTGTATACTTCTGCGATTTGATCTGTCCCCCGAGTCTCGCCAATCTATCGATTTGCACGCAGCAGTGACCTCACTACCATCGCAGCAATGTGTATGTATGCATATGATAGGTATTCGATTCATCATTGCTAACGATGGAAGATTCACCGCAAGCACCGCAAGCACCGCAAGCACTTAGCGTAGTTACTTTGTCAGTAACAGTCATGATACCGATTGCTGTTATGCAGAAGTCACTGCGTAGCTTAGGGTTCTTGCTTTTCACTATCGTATGTTGGGTTGTGGTTGCATCACGGAACGAATTTCCTGATGTTGTGTCTCACCTACTGCTGCTTATCGTACTGGGCGCTGGTAATATCTGGTATCATGGAAGGAAGAATTCTCAGAACGGCCGGTAATCATACGACCGCGGTGTGTTCGGTCATGACAGTACGCGACAATCGCAAACAGAGATGTCTCGGTAGTCTCAACCAAGCAGTGCCAGTCATTTGAACTAGCGAAATAGTTGCGTGACTGAACCATCATCGTCAGAATCTTGTACTTGCACTTTTATCTCAACGTCCGGCTCACCAAACGTTAAGTCGGCAAGATCCGGCAGTATGACGCATAATGTCGGGCTAGAATCGCTTCCATTGTTGCCATGAATCTCAAGGTCGTTCAGCCCTAGCCGACGTGCCGTTCCACATATGCAGATAAGGGGACCTTACTGGGCGTCGCCGGACGCCGAGGCGGCTAGGAGAAGGTGAGCACCGTCCAACGGCATGCGGGGCGCCCGGTCCATCGAGAGGGTCAGCCGCTCCGGGAACTTGCGAGTAGGGATCAGCCTACGATTCTTCATGGTGAGAGTGCATTTGAACGTGGCAAATCTATGCATGTAGCTTATACACCATGAGGGCCTGTGATCTTGTCAAGCTCTGCGCTGCTCGCAGACATGTCCGTTATATCAACGTAAGCTGGAAATAAACGCTGGGAAAGAATGCAGCCTCCCTAGCTTTCTTCAAAAGGTACCTTTGGGGATAAGACCAAGCTATATGTTCCATTGACAAACCCTTTTACAGGCAATCCAAGTTGCTCTTCGCCGATTTGGATACTGACATGAGTCGGCCCAACAGCAAACTGAAATAAAGTGCCCTGTGCCTTTACTCCGGACCCTCCACGAATCTCCGCCCTTTCGTACTGGTAGGCACAGCCTTGTGCAACAAGTGCCTGTAACTTCATATACCTCTTACTATCCTCCAACGCCTTCTCGATGATCGGGTTAACTCCTCCCGACCGAATAAAACCATCTGCCTTGTGAAACACTTGGAAGCAAGACAGCGTTTCTTCAACAGGACGGGATCCCAGTAACTGGTTTATATGGGGCGGTATTCGTATGAGTCCATTGGGATTTATCGTGAGTTTATCTTGTTGGACATCGAAGGGTTGCTTCGGAGCAATGGAAATGTTCGGCGTTGCCGCAGTGGGGACGGCTGTTGGTCGTGCCGGCGGGACCCCAAGCAATTTTGTGCTACTAGGTTGCATACTGTCCGAATCCATGGAGTCTGAACATTCAGCATAGTCTGAAGTCTTCGATAGTCCAACTTACCTGTCAGTTACGTTGATCTTGTGTCATCAAAGTCGACTCGTGAGTCTTCCCAGTCAAATCCAAACTGCCCCCAAGGCTCATCTCAGGTTCCAGGTGCAATGGACTCTTGACCTGCGGGCGAGCACGGAACGCATAACAGCTTAATCGCTCCGCTCCTCCTTGAGCCTTGGCCCAATATATTGATGTACCCGAACCCTATCCCTGAATGGAATTATTACCTTCTGTAAGCGTTAAAAGATGTCAAAACTACCATCCTCCCTTCAAGCATATGTAAGCGTCCTGCGCACTTCCACCACGCGGGTAGTTCGATATTTCCACGTTACGCATGGGATGGCCGTTAAGGCAAGCATTGTGGGAAATATGAAAGCTTCGATACGAGACTTTCTTGACCTGTCAGGGACAAAGATCGTGCGTTGTTACCACTTTAGACGCATACCGACCATCACTACTTAGCAGGCGATCGAGAGATGCTATTCTCAGTGGAAGTTACTCTGCTTTCCTACCCTGAGCCTTTGTTCACGTGCGTAATCGCTTTGATGATTGCTCATTTGGAGGGGCCAGCAATCAGATGGCAGAAACTCCGGATGGGTCCAGGCTTAATTATACTCTATCGATGACTCGATAATGGGTTGATGTGACGTCAGCCGCACGGTTGCAATACATGAACTGCCGAACTAACCCTATTCCTCAGGGCAAACGCTTGATGCCCAGACGATGCGGACCGGACCAGACCGTGTGCACGCAATAATACATGCATAAGTGAGCTAGATCAGAGCTTTTGTACTGCATACAAGAAAGTTAGATGCATACAGGCACAGCACGGCACGGTACGATTTACGGGTTTGGGGTCAGCTGAGCCTAGACGTCACTCAAAAAACCCGCCAAACAAGATGAGAACGTGGAAGGAGCGTCCCGTTAATCAGCTAGAATGTCATCAACCACTTGATACGCAGACTTCCATTTTCAGCTCAGATAAACGAATTCTCGTGGAGAAGCACTGGGCTTGTTCAGTGGCATTCCGTGGGAAGCAAATCTGTATGCATGAAGGCACCAGCATTCCTTAGAGGTTTGAGCGCCGCTACATAATGAAGATACAGATGACATCGGCCAATATGCGAGGGGTAAAGGGTTACGTATCGGTCCAAAGCTTTCTTGCACTATCAAACTCGGCTATTAAAAAAGACAGCCTGTCCTGGCTTTAGCACATCTTGAGCAGGACTGGGCTTTAGCTTCCCAATCACATTTTGCCTTCAAGCGTCTGCATCGAATGCATGCTGATGTTCGCCGAGAGTGTGGCTTGCCGTCAATGCGGAAAGTGGAAAAGCCATATCCGTCCGGAGTCTGCGAATAATCCTCAACTGTGAAAGGCAGCTCACATGTAGCTTCGGGAATAGCGTCCTCGTATGGATTTATTGTGAAAGAAGTTGACACAAGGCGTGTAGAGATGTCACTTGCAGTGCCAGTGGTGTCATCCAGACTGTATGGTGGAGCCATTTCGTAGTGGTGTTCAATGGAGGTGATTCTTTCCCGGTACTCTTGTGGGCAAACCTCTATACCCATTTGACCTTCATTCTGGATCTCGACTACCAGAATGTAGTTGTCTCTGCTACGACCGTACGTTATTAGCTTACCCGTTACTTTCATCGCCTTTCCGTATAGAGTTCCTTCTTTCTTTCGGATATCGATCGTCGAGTCCAGGTATCTCGTCAGCACATCTTCTATGTTCTGGTCATCGAAGCTCGGCGTGGGTGCTGCCTCCTGTAACTGCGCAATCCAAGTGGAGAAAAGGTTGAAATGTGCTGGGATTTGATATCGAAGCTCGCTCAGAATTCTAGCAAGAGCGGAGATACTCATAGGGCTTCGGATCGCGCTATGCTTGTCGAGGATGAAGATAGGGTGCTTGTAACTTCTCTTTAGAGGCTGTTTATATCCGAGGATCAGAAAGTAGACTCACAAATTGTTCGTCTCGCGACCACTGGACTTTTTCCATACGCCCGTCACCCAGCGGGGCGACTCTTGATCCTCCCATGGCCTGCTGCAGGCCTTCTTCAAATTGGGTGGTAGGCCATGATCCAACGAACGGAATGGGTGATGGGTAGAAAGACATCAGTAGAACAAGGCGGTGATAGAAGGGCGAAGGAGGTGATGAGCGAGAGCCGTCTTTCTTATTCGCTCGTGGTCAGAAGTAAGCTCGTAATACGGCCAGCAATCTGCAAGGACTATGCGAGGTGAGCCGGAATTCACTAACTACTTGAGGTTGCGCCTGCTATGATGCGTGATTTCGATCGAGCACCTTAGGGGCGGCGGCTTAAGCGCCGCAGTCCAGAAGTCCGAACTCTTTCCAACCATGTCGATCAATCACAGCATAATGACTCCTGCGTTCATTCAATACTTTCTTGCCGCAGGTGTGCTTTGGGGCCAATGCGCCGTTCAGATGCGGGTCATGACGGATGTCTTTCCTGACCAGTGGGCGTTGTCCGCACGTGATCGATAGTGAGGCAAAGCCAAGATAGGCAATGTAGTATGGACCTTGTCATATCATATCGCGGGTAACAGTAAAGGTCGCGTTAGAAGCTTTGTTTAGAAAGGCCGTGGTATCGTACCAAGCATTGAGCACGCAGAGCCCCCCGCACAAGTCTCAATCCTCATTCGCTTCTATCTCAGCATCTCCGCCTTGAGTTTGATCAGACCTCCGTGAAGTTGTTCTGCATTCACATTCACCTTGCAGTCTACACCCACGTACACCAGTAGCAGGATGTACGTCCCTCTTCCTATGTTACGTTCAAATGCCTTTAGAACGCCAACGGCTTCGAAGGCCGCACCGTACTCAGTGTCGATCCCCTGTTGGACATTGATAGTCAAATTCCAGAAAGAGGTAATTCTGAGATTGTGTAGTCTTCTAGGGAAAATACTCTGTGTGTATTGCAGTTCAGATGCTGCGATAGATCCTACCTGCTCAAGTATGGATTCCAGGGTTTTCTTCAGAGTCGGAGCTATATCAGGAACGCTGTGAAGAAGCTGACTCACAGTACTACCAAGGCAAGTGGAATCTTGGATAGGGTTTTTGGGCGGGTCTGCATGACGGGATCGACCGAGCGCACTGATAATCCAGTCACCAAGACGAACTATCCCTTTTCTAAGTTTTTGAATCGTCTAGTTTTCGTTCCACCTCCTGAGTATCTCGAAATCGGCCGAAGCATGTGGCTCCTGGGTGCATTCGAATATGTGAATTTTTCCTGGTGGGTTTCTTTCTACTGGTGATGTTTGCGCGGTTTGCACCACCTCTCCCACTCTTGTTGTTGCGGGAATCGTGAAACCTTCCAGTCTGACACGGGGGAGTGGATCCTATACAGTCCAATTCTGTTTCAAATGTAAGCCCTTGTCATATTCCTTCTGTTGGGGGCCCAAATAGTGGGTGTACTCGTCCAAGTTTATGGTATTGCTCTCCATTAGTTTCATTCTTTGTGATTCTTGATATTGTCTTGACGCTTCTGCATGTTCTCTTTCGGCCTGCTGGTTCCCGAATGAACGAGACGCAGAAGCATCAGATGTTTCTAGCGTGGATTTCAGTTCTTTTTGATGCTGAGTGTTGTCGTTTCGTTGGTATGCTGGTGTCGGGTTCAAGACTTGACCAATTTTCATACAATTTGGTGAAGCCATCTTTGTATCCTTCGAACCTCCCTTCTCAGGAGCCATGCTAACTTTAGCTAAGCGTTCTGGTGATTAGCTATATTCAGGCGAGAATATACATAACGTACCATGTTTTCTCTGCATGTTCCCCACATATGGGACATCCGCCACCTCAAGATTGACAACTGCACCGATGGTGTACCATCTGCAGCAGAGCATGGACGTGATACAGTTGAGGAGGCACAATGAATTATAAAGGGTTATCATCTCGACCCTAAGCGAACTGCATGCTAGATTGGAATTAAGCATTGGCAGGCATAACGCCGGTTTACACAGCCGTCTCGTTCCATTCCATCGGTGCCGCTGACCATTGGTGCATCTCTTCGTAGTCAAAGTCATACTTCCTCCCTGTTCCGGAATCCGCGGTCGGCACATCAAACGCATGAGGGGCGCCCTGCACTTTCTCGAATCGTACGTCCGCCCCAACCCGCTGGAAAAACATGGCCAATTGTTCTGCGTTTTCAAATGGACAATTGACGTCTTCTGTACCATGGACTATTGCCAACCTTAGCGGTTTCCGGGGTGGGTACAGCTGTGGCAAGGATCTCTCCTTGATGAACTCCAGTGCGTCCATTTCTGGCAAGTATCGTACGCCAATGTTGTTCATTCGTTCCCCGAGTCTTTCAAAGATACGAACAGGCTCAACTAGAAGATTCGGGTCGAACACCATATCCTTCCCAACGTCATGATAGTAGTTCGACGCGTCGACCATGTTTGCGAGCTCCAGAATGGAGAAGTACCGGGTGAGCACTTCTAACAAGGGCACCGGTTTCAACTCATCTCTGTCCTTGCAGTAGGTCCAGGTAGCATTCACTGCCAGGACTCCCATACCTAGTGGAGGAGTTCTTCCTCGTCCTGGACGATGCCCTGGTCGGATCCTGCTCGCATCATCAAGCCAGTTCAAGCCGCTGTCGGTTGCCTGTTTGGCACTGATGTTGACTCCACGATAGGGTCCCAGTTTCCTTCTGTAAAGTCCCGCCATTGGACACCACAACTCACCAGACCGAATGTTGACGCCGGGATGAGACAGTAACGTGATTACCGACCAGAGAGCCCCTGCACTGTCTGAAATAGCAAAGAACTGATCTTGCAGCGTCGCCTTCATGGTTGGGAACAACTTTTTAATCTCTGCTTCGACCTTTGGAAAGTTTGGAGCCTCAAAACAAGTTGCGAATTCGTTACAACCCTCTAGCATTCCGCTAAAGTCGTCCTCGGGGGCAAGTCTAGGGTACATGGTGAATATGAACATCCCAGGTCGATGGAGGTGCTTTTGGTGCGGCCTTTCCCAAGGGGGAAACGGTACTTTATTGCAGCACTGCCCGTGTTAGATTGACGATCGAAAGAAGCCAGCTATAGGAACGTACCAGCCCTCCACCGATTTGCCTCATTATGACAGGGCAACGGCCGGTAAATCTGCCGTTAATAGCCTCTATGTCTCCCAAAACGTGCATCCGGGTTCCGTTGACAGTAACTTCGAATGACTGGAAGTTTTCGTAGAGAAGCTCCTGCTCCTGTGTCGCTATAAGTTCCGGCATTCCTGGGTGATTCAAGTCGTTGAGACAAGAGAGTCCGTTGGCGTCACTGTCGCTATAACTTGTTTTTCCAGTAGCAAGTTCATTTTTGATGTTCAGTTGTATGCAGAGTCTCCCATGGTCGCTTTGAGACATCTCACAGTGTTTGATATTCCAGCCCCGACCTGAGGTTTCATTTGTGAGATTGAGAATCGTGATGCAGTGCAGATTCGGATGGATACCAGTGACACAATCGGCATACCTAACACAAATATTGCCATCCTGGAGTGGATAAGACCCTAGATACTTGAATTGGTCCGGAATTTTGAAACCTGGGTAAGGCATATCGGAGGGCAAAACGATTGTACGCGATGTGACAGTAGCTAGAAACCAGGAAACGCCTGGGACTTTCCGCGCTTTATGCAAATCTACTAAAAGCAGGACCCCTCATGCAAATGCGATATTGGACGCCACCCGCATATTTCACCCTACCGATCTGCCGGACTAGCCGTTGATAACGCTAGCGTTATGCTGACACGATGCTTTAGCTGCATGCCCGAGACTCTACCACTTTCCTGTTGCGTACATTCACTTTCACGACGAGTTGCAATTGGTGGGCACAAGGACAACTTGGGCATTTTCTAACGGAATCTTTTCTTCTTCCACCATGCACATTCCTTGAGATTTGCAATGGGCGCCATCGCCACTGTGCTGTCGTCGCCAGTGTCGTCGATGTGGTCGATTTTGCCATCATATTTGAATGCTGTAAGCAGAAATAGGCCCACAAGCCTCAGTGAATTTTCTTCTAGATTTCGAAACGATATGTTCGATACTGGGTTCTTCTTCCGGCACACCAGCAACGCGTCTGATCATGCTTAGCGCTTTTTTTTCTCATGCTGAAATACCAAAACTTACAGTTTTTTTCCACTAGATGACATACTGCATCGACAAACTCGACTAAAGCAGGACGTTGAGGATCACTGATGACCTTTTCTCGCGGGTCACCTACGTGGTGAAAGAACATTCGCATCACCATTGTCACAAACCACTCTGTATCCTCGCACCCGGAGTCTGCCAGAACGGTCGAGGCCTTTCGCCCCATAATCTTCACATTTGTCTCCAGGTAGGTTACCTGCTGTTCTTCAGTCACCATACTCAGGCCTATCACACATATGAATGCCGCGAGCAGATCGTCGCAGCCTTTGGGCGATACGATGGTCTGCATCAGTCGTAATGTTGTCGTTTCTACGATGGTTTTCTGGAGGACATGGAAGGGATGTTTGATCTGGTGACTGATCAGGCGAGCGGCTCCAAATCCTTTGGTTCTTGGAATGCTTGACATTCCAGAGACGTGGTCGAGAGTGATTGCTCGTCCCATGATATAGGTTACGGTTATAAGGCGGAGAGTGTCGTTAATGAGTCGGTGTGGCACTGGGACATCTTTCATAAGCTGAAACAACTCTCCTAAAAAGATCCCCGTTTTGTCATTATTGAAGCATCTCTTTCTGAACACCGCGGTATGGCCATGGAGGATTTCGCTGATGAATTTGTCGCAGCGCCACATGTAGCTGGGATCGATAAACTTCATCCCTAATGGAAGAGACTCTGCACTGACGATTTCCGATGAATGATAGTGAGTATGCTTCAGTAGCTCCTTGTCCCGAGCCGAGAACCAGTGGACGTCGACTGGAAACGAAGGCAGTTTAGGGCCGCAGCTTAGCCAAGCGGTGGCCTCCACATCTGTCCATTCCTCGATATGTAGTCCCGCGAACCGTTTAAGCTCGGGCTCGCTGTGCATATCATCGAAGAACGTAGGAGCGAAGTAATGCGAGGCATGGTTGAGGTACAGATTGCGGGTTCCAAGTGTTTTGATTGCAGGGACGCATTGCTCGATGAGCTTCGGGTACTATTGCTTGTCAGCAATAACTGAGCTTTCGGCATGCGTTCCATACCTGTGTGCGTGTTTGATGCCCAAGGTTCACAGCGGTTTGAGAATCCACTTCGTCCACGTAGTTCTCATCCAATTGCGTCGCTTCTGTGACTCGCATCGTGGTCGATTCCTTGAGGGATAAGTAGGTTGGTTGGAGGGTCGAGGGAAATTGCCATCCATATATCCTAGCCGCTCCGCATAACGCAGCCTGATGGATGTAAATGTATCTGGAGACGCAAGTGGCTTGGAGTAATAACACGACGCACCCTCGCATCTAATGGCTTGGCTTTGATGGGTAGACACATGATCAGTAACTCGATTCTCGGCTCAAACTGTAGTGGAGACTATTGAATCGATGAGGCAAATTGAAGAGCATTTGCAATTACAGTTTATAGACATCAAAATCAATGTATATGCTATGAAATCGATCCTGTGCGTGAAGGCAGTATACAAAAGAGATCCACCTTTACGCGGTGCTGCTAAAGGTCTTTGTTGTGGTAGCTTGCAAGGAGCGTGGAATAGCTTTTTAATCAAAGCTAGGGGCCGCGAGATGTTGGGGGCGTAGGCGGCATCCCACACGTTGCGGCTACGGTTATAGTCGCTGTAAGAAGATGGTCAACTCTATTTGCATGCTCATACGTCCCAAGGCCAGTCATCGTGTGTGCTTTGAGTCTTTCTCTCGGGAACGGTGGTACTAGTTTCGATGACGCGTTCTAACCTGTCGCGCGTGTTGGTTGCTGTGGACGATATCAAGCTGCTTCACTTACCCTATCAATTCCGGGTCGGTCTTCTTAACGCACCGAAAGATACGACGAGATAAGGCTAATAGAAGAATTACGAAAAATTGCGAGACACATTCACTCTGTCGATGTGAGCTCAGTAGCTTCAGAGCTTGATAACATACCAAGAGGGCCCAATATTCATCGCTGATCTTGATGAAACCGACAGAAGAGCCTATAGCAGCTCCGTAGCAAAGTGCGAATGCTAGATAGCACCGACAAAATTTCGGTGACACCTTCCAAGCAGCCAACAAGCAACCTATCGCAACAATCGAATGTAATACAGCGCTGGCCGACTGAAAGATTGCTTTTCTGACGATTGGTTCAGAGAACTGTTTAGCAAAGATAATAACGCCTCCGACCTGTTGTGATAGACCGGCGATATAGAGGATCAACGCAGTGATCCGAAGCCATTTCTTAGATAGCGTCTTCGCCGGTTCCCATAATTTCAAGAAGAATAGAGTCTAACCTTCTGTTAGTTCATCTCTTTTGTGGCCGGCTCTCTCACCTCGAGTATAGTTCCGTTGAGCCTAGTCCAACTTAGCAGGACCAGTGAGGCTAGTTGCGGCGCCTGCTCCTCCACGAACAAAGGAATGAACGCAATGTAGGGCAGGACAAGGAGAATAATAGAGACGACCGAGCGAGCCAGTACCATCCCTTTCGTCTGTCCCCAGTCTTGCCGGAATAGAATCAAGCAAATCATGGCAACAACAACAACATGGCCGCCGATGGCAAAGTGATCCATGGTGCAGGAAATGGAATGAGGCTGATAGCCACACCATGCAGGAGGAATGCAACCGGTGAAGAAAGGCAGTCAGCGTAGAATGCAAACAAGGCCGAGGTCGTTTGCCTGGTTGGGAGCGTGCATATATATCGATGGGGGAGCACGACTGCAGGTTCTAATGGCAGGCCCAGTTCCCATCTCGCATGGCACTGTCGATCGTCTGCAAAGGAAGGCACATAGGGATCCCTGTGGGATACGCGAAGGGCGTGTGCAGGGTGGGAAGGCTAGTTGGATTTGGGGCGCTAATTTGGAGCGCTCCATTTTAGCGCTATGAATAAGTCCTAGCGTCGATTCTGTTGATATTAACGGCTCCGTTCCTAAATCTTCGCACCTCAAGGGCGAAATGATTGAGTTATCTGCGAGGATCGAATCAGCTCTGGCTAATCCAGACAAGGAATCACAACTACAATATGTATGTTCACCAGACTGAGATAGTGTCTCTCATTCATGCCAGTTCCCAGCTCGTCGCCGAAGTACGCAGAGTGCTTGCTTCTGTCCGAAAAGCTACAAAATCTTCTGCAGCATTTGCGAACCAAATTGAATTTACTATTAGTGAGAAACGGGATGCAAAGTCCAGAGTGCTATCACGAATTCGAGACTACAGTCCTCAGGAACATGAAGACGTTGTACAGTTGCTGAAGCAGGTCGAGCGTGGTACAGTAGCATTCTGGAATCCCCAAGGTCAACGAAGCTTTTCTAGCGAACAAAAGCATGTATTGATAGAGAAGCCCTGGAGCGTCGCTGCCATCGCTTGTGTTGTTCTCGAAGAGATGGCAATACATCACCATATCCTTCGCAGATTTGCCCGTTTAGCAGTCTACATACTGAACAGCCAAGGTCGCACAGCAGCTTCAATCGCCCGTGTTTTGCAGAGGAGCGGATTTGATACGACAGAAAGCACAGTTGAGAATTTCATCTCCGCCGGCAGTAGGTACAACAACCTTGCGAAGAAACTTGGTGGAGTTGAGTTCCTTTTCTTTCTGCCCACGACCGTCCCAGCGTCCGAGTAAGTCCAAATTCCACCGTTTGGAAATGTATTCATGGATATAGTTGGGAGCTCAAAATATCCAAGGATGGGGTCGAAGCATTGCAGCAACCACTGTCGGCCAAACTATCGGAAGTGTCTAAACCGTTTCGCCAACTTGCTGAGAATTTACTGACTTCTGTGACGGGTAAGTTGGGACATTTTCTCATGAACAAGCCATCTAACCGCGTCGTAGATCCGAAGGCTGTGCCCCAAATATTCACCTGGCTAGAGGACACTGTTGGGCGGTCAGCGAAAAGACCAAGACATTGGGGCCTTCCAAAGACTATCACGACGAATTGTGAATCTGTCCCAATAGCGCGACAAAGGGGGGCAGATACACACTGGCCTGAGAATTGGCCCCAGTCAGACCTGAACGAACGTCACTTTTCATCCGATCAACCGTCGAGCAGCTCGGATTCATTGATGCCTGTGGATGGCCCTCCGTTCAACGTTATGGCGGCGCATCTTACTGAAGGAGTAGGTGATGGGCAAAATGGTATGCTACCAAGCCATATTTTCCGAATCAATGTTAATGGAAGGTAGGAAGATCTACAGGACACGCCCCTTCAGATTGTAGCTCTGACAGAAGAACATCGTTGGAGGAAATTTCGATACATCCTGACAAGAGCCTTGAAGACGACAACCTGGGTTGTCAAGGGAGCCAAGGCAGGGACGAGGGAACGGATATTTTAGGGTGGTTGAGCTTATTTGGAAACGTGAATGAGCTTCATCCGACGGACACCGTCCGTGATGTGTTATCTAGCTGGTCCGAATAAAGAATCGGCGAATGTTATGTGCGATATGCAGAATTATCTACCTTGGGTTCGCTTTTGTAATTACTTCTTGCGAAACTCTCAAAATCCACGCGGTTATGACGATATTGACCAGAACTCAAAGTTTATTGAGGCGCTTATACGTCAGCGGGTGTTGCTATCTGCTTCCTTCATTCGCTTTCCGACGTTCTGTGTTGTATTGGAGGCACTTGCCGTGGTGCAAGAGGAAACATTAGCAATTGAAAATCCACGTTGTGCAGCTCGAAGCAGACTACCTGTGTGGAATCAAGCGGGCGGATCAAAGCCAAACTTGAGAGTGGCTTCGTTTCTGTGACAGATTCGTCTTGAAACAAAGGCCAACTTCTCAGCCTCGCTTCCGCCAGGTCTTCAGGATCTCCCACCGCTTTGATAATAACCGTGTGGTTTTCTTTGACCTTGATAACACCTGAGGTCATGCGGAAGAATTGCGGAAGGACCGTAGGCTTTTGAATGTCGGCCCAATCGATTGCAGCTTCAATAGCAGATCTCTAGAGTCCGCAGATCAGCAACGTGTAATGGCACAAAGATATGCCTAAACATACTATGGAGTGTATCTCTGTGACCATATCCGCACACTGCTCGGGCATGTCGTATATGTACAATGTCGTGTCCTCCTTTACAGGAACACGCTTCCTGCCGCGCAGGTCTATTGAGGTCGCAAGTTGATCGAGACGGGGAGTTGACTCCAAAAGGACATGAGTAGGTATCATCTTAGATGGCGACATGTATGGTGATGAATCACGGGTTGATGGCAGATGGAAGAGAAGGCTCGGTTCATGTAGTTCGTTTCTGCTTACATAAGAAGACACGCTCTTATTGGACGAAACTGTTCATGGTCCCTCATTGACTTTATGCCTGGTCAAAGATATCCACCCCTGAACGCCTCCTCTCTTCCGTAGTGCCGACAGGCAGATGGTCAACGATTGAGGTTGGCTCAACCCTGCTATTTCCCTGGATTTGGCCGTTTCGTTCTCCATTGACTGTTGTATCGTTCGGAGGATAAGATGCATTTGGAGTACCTGGTGGCGGTGCCGGCGTATGAGGCACGTCTAAGAAGAGGTCAGCGGGCGCTACTTCTGGTAATGTCATTTCTTATCACTTTGAACTTGGCTGCTTCCACCGCGCGCATTCTGTCCATTTGTAGTGGCAACTTGCTGCTGCGTGGACTGCGACCGATCATCCGAATTGGTCATGTTGACCAAGCCTCGTGAACAGTATGTGTTACTAAATAATATCTATATCGATATCAGTGTACTGTCTAAGACGGCAATGATCACAAACCTTTGTAGCTGTTGTTACGGTCGCTGATGAGACCGTCAGATGGAAGATTAGTTGGACGATTGTGAGGTTTTATATGGAATCAATATCCCGCAGCCTACATGCGGCACTGCTTCCCCATGTGCCATCAACATCAGTATAAGCATTCACGCAATGTGGCGTTGCTGGTCCGATCACCGACCCCTCTTTCGTCGATATGTACGCAGTTAGTATTCACAACATACGGGCTTGCGGCGTTACCCATCAGAATATCAAACCCCCTTACATTGACGATGCAGCACCCACGCATGGGTATCTATTGTCGCTTAAGGCTTGCAGGATGCCGCATCGTGTCGCTATGGCTGCACCCCTGACCCTGATAGCGCTGATGGTTCGAGCCTGGTGGAAGTTAGATCAAGCCGGGCCATGCCTTGCCCCAAGAATTGGGGAAATGACATGCTGTTTCATTCGGTCAAAATTCATTCGTTCTTAGTTACCATTGTCTGTAATGCTATGCCTTCTCGCCATCCTGCAAGCCACTGCATTGTTCGATACGGCTTTGGAAACTGTATGGTCCTGCGCTGACTCCAGTGCTCTTGGAGATCCTGAATTCTTCTATAATCGTAACTTCCCCCCGTAGTTTGCGTTCGCTTGCCGCGCTCTCCTTGTTGCTGCCCCTTGCCATCTGTAAGCCCGCTGCATTGTTCGACACGGCTCAGTAGGCGTCACCCACATTTCCATCTAATGCTGGACCAAGTTCGCGGGGTACATAATATATGGCATCGCCGCATTCAAGCAGCCTTAAAAATGATGCCGCGTGGAAGCTAGATCGAGTTGGGCTCGCTTCGTGCATGGGGATCATAGCTAGTTTGCATAATAGTACAGCAGGAATGACAGGCGCGAGCTTCTGTTGACGTTAATGACGACTTGCTCTGATGCAGCGTGAAACTCTTGCTGGCGACGTGTATACAAGTCTAGTGGTATGTTCACGAGCCTCCATGAGCAGCATAGATGAGAAACAGTAATGCCAATTCGCAGTCCTACCATAGCTGTGTATAACCAGATAGCTGCAATTGAAGAAATAGCCCCGGTCAAGTCGCAACTCGAAAAACAACCCCGGTCAAGTCGCAACTCGAAAAACAACCCTGGTCAAGTCGCAACTCGAAAAACAACCC